GTTGGTTGACGCAACTACTGCACTCGAATCCCCATTTTCCTACTACTAATAAAACACTCTCAATTCCATTCATAGGAAAGAAAAAATATCCGGATAAGTGTTCTGGAAGAAAAAACTTCAATGGGTGTATTTGACAAAAAAAACCAGCGGGTGATCAAAAACACATCGAATATGGACTTGGCAAAGTATCTTTAATACCAAAAATTTACAGGCGAACAATTGACAGATGGAGAAATATGCGGTAAATTTGTTGTGAATTTTCTACTGATTCAATATTTAAAATAAAAAAAAAACATTTATTACAGAACATTGTGGCGTGAACATTTGGGCGCCCCGAAACTGATATACGATTGTAGTTATTCACACTACATGATGCGACGTGAAAATAAAGACGCGGCTCAACAATTGGCAATAGCCTTTAGAAATAATCGTCGACATCTTCAGCCATACGCGCTTAACTTTTGTGGCATGGACAAACAAAGTATGCTATGGTCATCACTACTAAAGGAAATCCCAACAATTATTACTAAACCGCTACCACTCCGAATACACGAAGCTGACGCATCGGAAGCTTTTCCGAAAGAAAAACTCGTCATACTCACGCCCGATTCACCAAACGTATTGAGAGAGTACAATAACGATTAACGATAATCATTACGTAATTAGCAGCATTGTTGATCGCGGTGATAAAAAGGCGATATCCATTGACAATCGATTATCTGTTTTTTTAGCGTCTTCTGTAGCTATGGCAGCAGCTCGTTCTGCCATTTTTACTGCATAGTACATGCCATCAACACAAATATCATTCGGGAAAAACATTAATTGCAATGTCAGATCTTGTCTCGATCTAAGAATTTCATTTAATTCCATGGATGTTTACGTCCTTATTTAATTTGCCGGTGTAGACACTGCGAAATGAATTTTCACTCATGCTTCGTAAGCTTTGATCGATAAACCTAATCAGTCCAAGTTGATCGGTCTGAATGCACAATTTCTTAAAGGAATCTTTTGGAATTTGTTGCATTGCTTTCAAGACGGCATATAGTTTTGCATGGTTCGGTGATTGCCGGCGCTCAACACTTCCTTGCAAATTCCTATAGACAATACATTGTGTATAAATATAGAACATTTTTTAATATGCAAATATTGGCAGTAACTCATGCTTTCAAGAACTTACAATGGATGATCTTGATTAAAATAAACGGAATACCCTGACTTGTCATCAAGTTTACGTGGATTATATCCACTTATAAACACACACACATATCCATCAAATCGCTGTAAAAAATCGTGTTCACCATACTTAACGAGTTTGTGTGATGAGAGTAAATAATTTTCATTTTTTAGGTCTCTGACACAATCGATATGTGGATATGGCTGGAGATTTCGTCTTCGTAGACCCAATTTTGGTTTCAAAGATCGCATAAATAATATTCATGGTTAACAACCGAATTACTTTTACTGGCACAATAGTTAATACATACTTCATCATTGCCTCCATCGTTGGATTCACGACAGCCTTTTGATTCGGGCCTATGCTTAGCACCGGTCTATAATTTATTGTTTGGAGCGCAGACCTAAAAATAAAAAAAAATGATTTTTCATGTATCACATAATAACATTTTCACTCGACAATTTATAGAATATTTAATTGCTTACAATTTATTCAGCGTTGAAAACAATCGTCTACAAATATTCATGTTCATTTTTATTTTAAATTAAATAGAATTCAGAAATTTTTTTTATCACAATGAATTTTTGTATCGCAGCCATGCCTATATGAGAGCCTGAAACCCAAAACAAGTTATAAAAATTCTTTTCGGAAAAAAAGCATAAGAATGTATTTTAAATGAAAAAGGCGATAGAAAAAAAGAGCATATACAGAACTGAGAATTAAAACAGAATATAAATTCAGTTAGCGACAAAACAAACAAGCGATATGTTATATTTTGACTCTCAGTTTTTATTCGTCTCATTTTTTTGACGAAAGCAAATATAATATTTATCGATTCCAAATAAAAAGATATACATTTTCAGTTCTAAAATGAGGCGAATAAAAACTGAGAGTTACAATTTACAGAATTGAGAGTAAAAACAGCAAATCGATATATGCTACTTTTGCTCTTAGTATTCTATGTGTTGTTTTAACTCTCAGTTCTCTATATTCTCATTTTGTGCTCAATAATTTTTTATGCTCTTTTTCCGAAAAGAATTTTTATAATTTGTTTTGGGTTTCAGGCTCTCATATGATATCGTAATCAAGTGAAAATTTGCAGAGGTTATTTTTTTCACAAAAAGTTAACATTCTGAAAGTTTGAAGTTTCTCTCAATAATTCAAATACAATTGTTTATTTTTTTCGATGTTTTGTAAATTATTTCGCCTTTTGGAAAATAAATAAAATTTATTGTCTGTAAAATGTAGCTAATTTCTCATATGATGTGTGAATAACAAGTGTAAAATGAGTCAAACAGCGGCATCTATTGATAGTTTGAAAAAAAAAAAGTTCTGAAAACTTTTTGCTTGGTGACGAAACATTTTTTTATTTTTTCATAAATATTTCATTGGGGATCCTTTCTGATTTGGTTTTTTTTTTTATTGGAACTGAATAATATGAATTGATTCACTGGAACATTGTGCAAATTAAAGAATTTAAAAAAAAATCCAATAAAGATGGATTTCATTCAGTTCCCACAACATTTTATACATCACGAGATGTGTCCACTTGAATTTCAAACGATTGTTGAACCAGGAATCATCTCAAACTAACCTTTTTATTTAAATGTGAATATTTAAAAGTAAATAATTTGAATAATTTTCTAAGCAAAAATAAAGTAATTAAATTAAGAAATACATTTCGTTATTTTGGGTGGCATAGAATGACTTCTAGGTGTACATAAGAAGTGAAATTAGCTGAACAACAAAATCTGTTTAGTTAAAAAGAACGTTTACAGACCAAAAGTAAGCTTGTCAAGCATATTTGGTTTGTGTCTTGGATTCTATGCAGTGAATACGACTGCTAAATAAACACATATACACACACGTGGAGAAAACGGAACGCGTAACCAACTGTCAAATTGTTTTCCATTGATTCTTTGTGTTATGTGTGTACACATCTGTGTTGATGTCTTGTATACACATATCATATATATATTTTTCCCAAAACCAGTGACAGTCGATAAAGAAATTAGTTTCAATTAGTTTGGGTTCCGAATTAATTTTACAGATTTGGAAAGAAGCAACCAGAACGATATTTTCAAAAGAAATTAAATTGCTTGTTAAGTGCGAATAAAGAAAGCAAAATTGATTTTTTATTGTGTATGCATATAAAAATGGCTGAAAATGATTGTTTAAGACATAACAGTAATACACCCAGTGATTCGGATCGAGATACAAACTCGAATAATTCCGTGCCAGAATTAAAAGGATATCTCAGCAAATGGACCAATTACATTCATGGATGGCAGCCACGGTTTATCGTTTTGAAAGATGGCACTCTGTCCTATTACAAGAGGTGCGCTTAATGCGTCCATTTTTAATCGGAATGAAGGATTCAATTTTATTTTTTACTCTTTCCAAATAGTGAATTTGAGAGTGATTATGGATGTAGAGGTGTCATAAGTCTGGATAAAGCCACTATAAAAGTAAGTTTCAATTAAATAAATCAATAGCCAAGAGAGCACACAAAACAAAAGAAATGGAATTAAATACTGTATTTGACATTTGTTTTTATTTTACAGAGTCATGAATTTGATGAATGTCGTTTTGATGTTGCCGTAAACAATTGTGTTTGGTATTTACGCGCTGAAACACCCGAAGACAAAACACATTGGGTCGATGTATTGCAGTCATACAAAGTGCCGGTGGGCATTGATATGACTGCATTAATACGTCACGGCAGTACAATATCGTTGCAATCAAATTCAATTTTATTTAATCAAAACTCAGGTAATGGCGGACTAAGGGAGAAAATCAACGAAATCGAAACCTTTAGAGACATTTTATCGAGACAAATTAACACATTGCAACGGTAATTATTTCATTGATTTTTTTTTTTTTTTGAAATTTGTTCCTTAAACAATTTGTTTTACTTAAAAAACAGTTATTACGATGTTTGCGCGAGTAAAAGAAAAAATGATCATTCTGAGCTGCCTAATGACTTAAATTCAATCGATTTAAATGTAAGTTTGACGCGATCACAACGACAAATGAAAGCACACGATGTTTTAAATTTTATTTTTCTGAATGTATAATTGATTGTCTGCAGGGTGAATCGGTAGCATTTCGGGCAACGTCACAAGGTATTTTGGCGACACTGAATCAATGTTTGGATATAATTAACCAAAGAGAAGACTGTTTAAAGAGAAAAATGGAGACGGAAATGGAACAAAGACGACAATCAGAAGAATTATGCAAGTAAGTATAATTAAAACCATATCACTTCCTAATGACTTATTTGTCTCTTAAGATTGTGTTATCTCATGTGTGATTGATTCAATTAATTTTGGTATCATTTTTAATAGAAAACTTAAAGACGAATTGAGCAAAACAAAAAGTCCGGCATTTTTTGGTCCCGATTCAGAAGTAAGTAGTTGAGAACAAAACGGTGATAAATGATGAAAATAATTGCAGTCCACGGAGTTAGAAAAACAAGTCAAATATTATCGAAGTTTCTCGTATGCAAACATAGGAAATGCGAATGCACTAATTCGATAATAACAACGTATCTAGCAACGTATGAAGTATAAACACATGTATCTAATTTGTTTGCTTGTGTTTCAATCGTCGTTGTCGTAACTTATCATCATCGCAAATGCATAAATGTGCGTATGGAATTGTGTAGAAAAACACAAGTGGAATGAATGATAATTTCGATTTGAATTTAATATGAAAACATTCGTACAATAAAAAACGAATAAAAATAACACAAAATCGTTTGGCTAGAGAGTATTTTACGAAAGCAATTGACCCAAGGACAAAATAATCATCGATACAAATGTTTGGTACATAGTAGCGATATAAGCGCATGGCTCAAATTACGCAGTTTAATGTAAATGAGCGTGCATTGTAGCGGTACGAATGACAAACATATGCGACATTTAACATATTCCAAGCCATCATATACGATGTGATATGCAAATTTTTTGTTTGACACATTTGTAATCTCTTTCTTTTTACATCATTAACCACAAAAATGGAATTATGTTGCCATTCGACAGACTTTCACCCTCGGCTGTATTCGAATGGAAATTTGTACTTTGTGAAAGTTCTACGCACAATTGATAAGGATTTTTTATTGATCCGACACAATAAAAGCTGAAATAAAAACCTGCTTTCAAACTCTTACAAATATTGTGACGATGATTTCAAATATTCTATCAAGACTCGTTCTATCGATTTGGAAAATACCAACAATTTTTTTCCTTATCGGCGGAATAAAGAGGAAAATTACATTCTGTATAACATTATGTATGTACGTATTATTTGACGCATTTCGCCGACAGCGTAGAAAATTTCATTTCAATTAGACAAGTTTACTTATTATAGTAATGTAATTTATTACATTATGTCAATGATAAGTATCAACATCCAGAAATATCGTTGCTTTTTCTCTTTGTATTTCGGGTTATATTTATTTTCGTCGAATCATATTAATTGAGATATCGAGCGTTGGTCAAATCAATAGAAATGTGTGCCGTTTCGTCCAATGTGTGTCAAGAGTAAGGATTAAAAATTACAAAAAAATTCACAAATGAAAATCAATCGGTGGTTTGTGTCTAGCAATGATGGGCAAAGATACTTTATCTGAGGTTTTTAAGATACTTTTGAAAATTATCTGACTTTTTCCAGATACTTTACCAAAATATCTTATCTTATCTAAACGCAATTTTTGCTATTTTTGTATGAAAAAACCAGAAGATACTGCTTTATACTTTACACATCACTGGTGTCTAGTAGGTCGTTGAGCTTATTATTTTTTGTTAGAATGCCAATGCGCATACTTCATATGATTGTGTCAATGTGTTGAGGCGCGTATTTTTGTTTTTCTCTGGGTCAATGATCATCGATTTTCACCAAACGACCAATCCAATTATTAATTGAACCGCTTAGAATAAAAGTAGATAATGGTAGAAAGTTAAAAAAAATCTCAATCATAAAGTGTTATGAAAATAATACTCAATCAAGGAAAAAAGTGAAAATAAAAGTCGATCAAGAAAAAAATTGAAAATAAAAGTCAAACACAATTTATGATCGATTTTTATTTTCACTTTTTTTCTTGATTGAGTATTATTATAACTCAATTTATGATTGAGATTTTTTTTCACCCTTTTCTTGATTGATTAGTGATTTTTCTAGTTGACCATTTAGTGGTGTTCGAGAATTGAGAAAAAAATGTCTTTTTTCTTTCACTTTTTGTGCTCTGTACCGAGTCTCCGAGAGTTTCATATAAACTCGCCTTGCAATAGCCAAATGACGCCTATTGATTCAATCACGATTGGTATTCGCTTACTATTCAATAGGCATCACATAGCAAGTTTATATGAAACTCTCGGAGACTGGGTATAGAGCACTCAAACAGTGAAAAAAGTCCAGATCGTGATTTGGATGATAAGGAATGCGATTTTTTTCATTCTGATTTCACCAGGTGATACAGAAAATTGAGTAGTATTTG